TTTTTTTTTTTTTTGTAACTGGCATCAAACTGCTAGGCAGGTGCTTATACCACTAAGTTATCTCCCCAGTTTGCCTTGGCAACTTTTAAATAAATATTTCCTACGTGACAAACATGATTGAGAAGAGATCTGAGAAGGATTTGACTTGAGACTTGTACAAAGCAAAAGTCAAGCTCTTCCTGTAAGTGGCTGAGGTGATCTGTGAAAATGGTTTGCTACTCTCTTGACCCAAAAAAAGAGGCTCAGATCTTCACCTTCACTTTAAGAACACGTGTGAAACTGCCCAGGCTATCAAGGGTATGCATATCCGGCCACCAGGTATCTGAAGGATGTCACATTAAAGAAGCAATGTGTGCCATTCCGGTGTTACAGTGCTAGAGTTGGTAGGTGCCAAACAGTGGGGCTGGACGCAAGGTTGGTGGCCCAGAAAGAGTGCTGAATTTTTGCTGCACATGTTTAAAAATGCAGAGAGTAACGCTGAGCTTAAGGGTTTAGATGGAGATTCTCTGGTTATTGAACATATCCAGGTGAACAAAGCACCTAAGATGCGCCGCCGTACTATAGAGCTCATGGCCGGATTAACCCATCCATGAGCTCGCCCTGCCGTGTTGAGATGATCCTCACTGAAAAGGAACAAACTGTTCCCAAACCAGAGGAGGAAGTTGCACAGAAGAAAAAGATACCCCAGCAGAAACTGAAGAAACAAAAACTTATGGCATGGGAGTAAATTAAGCATAAAATAAATGCAAATAAAATTAATGTTGCCTATTTGTTAAAAAACAAACAAACAAAAAAAAAGAAAGTCAAAAATCTTGTTATGATTTTGGTTACCTTTTGGTTATCTATAGAGCCAGGTGAAGAGTCGGGCTTTTTTTTCTTTTTTTTGCTCCGAGTGCCTTCAGGGCAGGTTTGGCTGTCTTGAGTTGTGGGTATCCAACCACAGCAACCTGAGCCTGAATGCTTGTTGAAGCAGCCACTTAAACAACTGAGCTAAGGGGCAGGCTCCTTTTTTTCCTTTTTTGAAAAAGCAGCTTTTAAGTCCTTACCTCAGAAGAAAATGCAAATCATGCTTTGAGTGAGGACCAAGTTAAGGGCCTAGGAATTTTTTGTCTCTGCCCTGTGGTGGTCCCTGTTCCAAAGTGACTTAAACTTTCTGTGCCTCAGTATTTCCCACCTGCAATGCGGGTATGGTCAGGTGATGTCTTCCCCGCAGAAGGTTCTGGGGGACTAAACAGGTGGGCCAGGGTAAGGCCCGTAGGTGTCTGTCACATAACGCCACGTCCCTCGGTGTCATGAAGTTTGGACTCAGTCTGTCCTCAGTAGCAGCGTGCTTTGCATGGGGGCCGCTGGCAGCTCTGTTTTGGAGAGGAGAGAATCTGAGTCCAGAGAGGAACAGCCACTTGCCCTGGGCCACAGAGTCAGGTCAGACCACCCGCAGTTGCAGAAGGCTTTTCTGCGGCCTCTTCTGCCCTGGTCACTTTTCCCGTGGCTTCCTAGAGCCCATCGGGAAATTCCTGGCTGGTTGCCTGGCTTCCTCTTCCTCTTCTCACTTAGTCTTTAAACAATTACAAAGATAACAAACAAGGCTGTAACCAGCCTTGAATTGCTGTCAGCCGGGAAGGGTGGTGGGTGTGGTATGTTGTTTATTGCCTCGGTATCTTCCGTGTTCATGTAGATCCTGCTCATACTCGTGCCATCAGGTGACACAGGCAGCTCTAAGCACTACACAGAGACTGTCCTGTGCTCACAAGAAGTCTCCAGGGTACCTGTTATTTGTAATATCTTTTACTGTTGGGGAAACTGAGGCTCAGAGGGCTTCTCATACACAAGGAGATGGTGAAGGCAGGGCTTGGACTTAAACCATATCCCATTTTCTTCAAACTTACACAAGGTACTTTAAAGAAACAACAGAATCACAGCCATGTGCATCCGTTTACCTTTTGTCACCTAATAGTTTGTATGCATTTTTCCAGGATAATACATCCAATTTCTATGTATTCCTTATAAAAGTTGCACAGTATTTCATGGTATAGGGTCAGCACTGTTGATGTACTCTTACTATTGTTAGAAGTTTTTGCAGTTTTCTTTCCCCATGCTACGCAGACGCATAATCCGACCCCCTGGAACCAGCTATAAATACCTTATGAACATGGACATGGTAGGTTAAAAAGTATTTATATCTGAGTGATACTTTGAGATTGCTTGTCCTAAAGGCTCCTTCCTGACAATTCCGATTTCCACCAGCAGCGTGTTGGGGCCTCCTCACCTCTGTCCTAGATGTGGGTGCCATTATGACTTACAATTTCTGAATGTGCAGCAATATCTCCTTGTAACTGTAATTGGAATTTTAATGACCATTGAGGAGACTGAGGAGTTTCTGCGTTTGCTGCCCAGGTGAATTTATTCCTCTGTCAAATACCTGTTCATTTTGCTCATAATAACATGGAGTCTTTTTGTTATCAATATGCAAAGTGGAGAACGTCTAACTAGGATGGGTGAGATGTTGGCTATGTTTTGTACATCTGAGTTCTTTTTGGAGTTACTAAAGAATAATAATAATGATGTACGGCAAAGTATGCATGGAGCTTTCTAGAGAATTA